GTTTTTAGACTAAACTTGGGGTAAAATGGAATTAATTGAAATTTAAATATTTAAATATGGTGATAGTTTTAAGACTATAGTCGGTCATATTCGCATGACTAAAACAAAAAGGCTTCTTGTTTTTGTGTTTTCCATGTTCATTCCAACGACAATGGCTTGAAAAGACAACCCAACCAAACCTAGACTCGCCCTAACTCTCCTCTCTTGTCCTCGCAGATTATCTTTTCTCTCCGAATTATCCTTCAATTCACCGATTCTCTGCGCGACGAGACCTTTGCAGATCTGATTTCGTAACAGGTAGCCATAATTTTAGATTTCGAGGTTAATTTATTTGCTTTTGCTTTTGTTTTGTTTGGTTGTTTTTTTGTTTTTTTTTTTTGTAGTTTTGTTTCAAAATCGATGCTTACGTAGTGGTTAACATGGGTTCTATATATAATTTGGAGTTTCAAGGTTTTTGGGCTTTATTTCTTGGTTATATGAGAAATTTTGATCGACATGTTGTTTTCGTTGTCTTGATTTCCTCTTGGACCCCTTTTTATCCCTTTTTTGCTTTCTTCTCAGTTTTTTCTTTGTATTTTTTTGGTTGAAGGTCAATTTAATAGAGGTGGTTTTGAATTTTTTCAGTTTCAGGTGTGTATATGGGGGTGGCTAATAGTTGGGTGTTCTTTTATGGGGAAATTGCAAATATGGTAAGACCAAAATAAATTGCAAATCATGGAAAAGTTTATCAGTTTAATTATTAAAGTTGATAAGCTTTACCATTGATTTGCAATTTGTTTTTAAAACTTACACTGAATTGCAATTTCCCCTTCGTTTATCTGTGCATAGGCTTGTTTGGAAATTTTCTTTTTAATGGATTTTTGTTTTTACGATTATGAAAAGACGTGTAAAAAGTAGAGAATGATTTGAACAATTGTGTTATTGCTTTTGGGCTAAAACTATCCTTTCCACACCAGTGTTCTGATTGCAATTAAGCAATCTAGCTCCCAAAAACCCGTGTGCCCACTGTTTGTATAATTTTATCTGCATATGTTTCCATTATATTTTATTTGTGTTTTATAGAAATTATATGAAGTCATAACCGCATGGCCTCTTCTAAACACAGAACAGTATCATCGCTTCATGGTAGACTCTGTAACTGCCAGTATACATTTTCTTCTAGGTCAAATAATAAAAACTGTAATCTCCATAATAACCGAGGTTTTTGATTACTATCTTACGTTCACTCTTTTTTTTTTTTAATTTCGACATGTATTTTGTATTTTTACTGTTGGAATAGATGCAACTGGAATTATTTA